AATAAGAGTCAAAACAATTTTGAATTTCAAAGCATACAATTTTTTACATGATTTTAAAGTTTGTAATTTTACATAACAGAATACAAAATTTGCATGAAATCGACTGACTAGTGCCTAAGAAATCGAATTTTAAATATCTGACTTTTTGAAATTCATTTAGTTTAGCATCAATAATAGTTTGACAGTTTTGTAGACCTTTAAAAAAAGTACCAATATTAGTTTGCCAAAAATGATAATGAAAGTATTAGCCTCAGTCATTACTAGTTATTTTAATATTATTATGCATATAAATTTGATCATAGGTACAAATTGAAATTTAAAAAAATGCGTTAAAATGCTAAATTGATGGAGAAAATGTACTATTTATACATGAGAACCTTAAAAAAAATTGGCCTTCTGTAATAGGTATTACTTTTATTATGTTAATTGGAGTTGTCATTTTTTTTAACTACCAATTCAATATACCAATATTGGTACTAAAATACCTACTACAGATACTATAGAAACAGAACAAAATAAGAAAAAAAATAGACTAATAAAAAAAATTTAAATTATCTATTCTTTCATAAAAAATTTTGTATTTTTTATAAAAAGAAAAATTTAATTAAAAAATTATTTGTCTTTCTTTTGTAGAATGGTGTTTTAACTGTTACACTTAATCATCATGGCTCATACGTTTTGAATAAACAATCACCTAATAAACAGATTTGGTTATCCTCTCCTATTAGGTAAATATAAGTTTACAGTGTGTATCTTAAAATTACTATTTATAACTATTGATATCTGTATGTATTGTTAAATTTTAACTTAATGTCAGGAAATTACACCTTTAGAAAGTATTCTTAATTAGTGGGCTGCACCCACTGCTCGCCAACCCCCGAAAATTGCTACGCAATTAAGAGAAATAGTAATGTAAACAAAACAAACCACCGGCGGGAAAGAAATATAGCCAAAATTGGGAGCCACGTAAGAGAATTAGATGTTAGAAGTTTTTTTAAGTCAATATATATATATATTTTTAATAATCTTTATAAAATTAATAAAAAACTTATCAATAAATTGTATAACACAAACCAAAATTTATGCTTGCATTGCCTGGAGTTTTGCAAATTTCTCTTAAATTATTTTAAATACTTTTTTTTTAAAAAAAATTTCATTCACCTTTTTGCATCAAATTTTGAATTAACAAAATTAGAAAAAGAAAGCTTAATTAAACAGTTTGCGATAAATCTGAAAATTCTACAATCCACAAGATGATTATTGTTTATTTGAAATAACCCAATATATTTAATTGATTAATTATTTATTGAATTTAAAAAATGCCTGTTTTATCATTATTTTTAATTATTTATTTTTAGTGGACCCAAAAGATATGATTATATTGATGAAAAATGGATTTATAAACGCGATGGAATTTCATTGTGCAGGATTTTATCAGAAGAAATGTCAAATATTTTACAAGAAGAAACAAACTTTGAGGATTGCTTATAAATTTTTCTGTTATGTGTTCAAACTACAACTAATAAGTGGTTATTTTTAGGTATATCAATAAATTTTGTTGAACTGTTTTGCTGTCTTATCTTCATTACATTAAAAACTCATTTCATAATTGTTACTTTCAATTGATAAGGAAAATAGGTCAAATCTGATCTTAACTTTTAATTTTTTTATGACAATTGATAAACTGCTAACTGACACAGTGGGTTTTTTCTACTTAAAAATTAAGCACCATATTATGTATTTAACCCTTTCTCAGAATATGAGGAAACTACTTGACAAAATATTTGAAAAATATTCTTTAAAGTTTTTTTTTTTTGCCAAACTCATACTTATATTGATACTTGCTGTGAATCCTTTGAATTACTATTTTACATGCAGATGAGAGGAATTAAAATTGTACAACGGATCATCGCTTTGTAACTTCCTCTTAACCATCATGAACTCATTGTTTAGAATTGTTATATTAACATTCAGGATTGTAACTTCTCTCAACAGCATTTCTCTGAACCCCATATTATATATTTTAAATACAAATCAGACAGGTGAAAATAGGAGTACGGACTAGAGCAAAATCACCAGTTTAGTTCAATAAAGTAGACTGCTTTTGTTTACCAAATTTATAGTGCATTTGGCAGCATTGCTCTGAATCCATTGATATAGTATTTTTAGTGCAGATCAGAAGGGGGGAAAATTATGCCTGAACTCGCACCTCCTCTGCTTCTATTCAAATAGAAGAGAATAAAATTGTGCAAGAGATCTTTACTTTGTCACTCCAGATATCTCTCATTGTTTTCATCTAAATTTCATATTTATATGACAATTCTTAAACATTTTAAATTTAAAAAAAACTATGGTGTGAAGAAATCTAGAAAAACAAACTTTTTAAATTTTACAAAAAAAACTTTCGATGAAAAAATTAAAGGCTTTGTTTTGAAGAAAAAAGTGTAAACTTTATAATGATAAAAAAAAATTAGCTTTCTTCGAATAATGTGATGGGTTTTGATGTACAGAGTTATTGCAAAAATTATCTTAAGAATTTTATAATTTAAAAAAAAAACAATTATTAGGCCTTGAGGTACAGCCTATCAGATCGCCATTTATCATGTTATATTTGCCTTTAATACTCCGAAGGCACATACAGACCTACACTTTTTAATTTATAATATGCCTAAAGTTTTAGCTATAAATTTCATCGAATTTTTTGTTTCTATAATAAATTATGATAACTCAAGCGTAATGTTGTCAAATGCAGGTTATAGTTAAAAACATAAGCAGAGTGTCTGCTTTATGAATCTATTCATAAGTGAATTTTTTTATTACAGTACAAGAAAGGTAAATTAGGTCCCCGACCCCTCCAAATATGGGTATGCGGGGGGAAATTTCATCTTGTCGCCGTGACAGTTTCCCGCACAGCCGGAGGTGGACAAAGAGTATCTGCCACACGCACTATTTTATTTATTACAGTACAAAAAAAACCTGCTTATTTATGATACATGAAAATGCAAATATTACTCAAAGAAGTCGCTTGACAAGTTTCGACTAATCTGTTAAATAGTAAAGCAATATTTTACAATCCAATCATAATTTATAAACAACTTTACTCATTCTTAAATTGAGATTAAATACTTTTTCATTGATGATTAGTGACAATCATTATCCAACAAAATATTTTAGAATAATTCTGTATCTTGTTACTACTACATTACCTTTCCCTTATTTTTATGATTATATAATTGTTTTATAAATATAGTTGGTAAAATTTCCATTAGATAATATGATTCATTGCAACTAAAACATATTACTATAAATCTGTATGTTTTCTAAATAATTGTATCAATATTGCATAAAAAATATATGTGAAA